TCTTAGGGGGATTCCAGGAGGAGCAGGATACAAGGAAGAATCATAGAAGATTAGGTTTGAAAGAGACCTCAGGAGGTCATCTAGTCCAACCCCCTGTTCCAAGCAGGACCAACACCCACTAAATCATCCCAGATAGGGCTTTGTTAAGCCGGGCCTTAAAAACCTCTAAGGATGGAGATTCCCCCATCTCCCTAGGTAACCCATTCCAGTGCTTCACCACCCGCCTAGTGAAATAGTGTTTCCCAATATTCAACCTAGGCCTCCCCCACTGCAACTTGGGACCATTGCTCCTTGTTCTGTCATCTGTCACCACTGAAAACAGCCGAGCTCCATCCTCTTTGGAACCCCCCTTCAGATAGTTGAAGGCTGCTATCAAATCCCCCCTCACTCTTCTCTTCTGCAGACTAAACAAGCCCAGTTCCCTCAGCCTCTCCTCGTAAGTCATGTGCCTCAGACCCCTGATCATTTTTGTTGCCCTTCGTTGGACTATCTCCAATTTGTCCACATCCTTTCTGTAGTGGGGGGCCCAAAACTGGACACAATACTCCAGATGTGGCCTCACCAGTGCCAAATAGAGGGGAATAATCACTTCCCTCGATCTGCTGACGGTGCTCCTACTAATTCAGCCTAATATGCCATTAGTCTTCTTGGCAACAAGGGCACACTGCTGACTCATCCAATGTAATCCCCAAGTCCTTTTCTGCAGAACTGCTGCTTAGCCAGTCGGGTCCCCAGCCTGTAGCGGTGCATGGGATTCCTCTCCATAGGAGTGCTGATGGGCTTGGGGAGCAGGGTCTGAGGAGGAAGTGATGCTCCCAGGATTTGAGGGCATGTTTCCTAAGGGCTGGGAGGGGGGTCCTTGGAGAATCAGGATGTGGGGAGAGGGGGTTCCATTGGAGGAGCAAGGTGCATGGGAATGTCTCCCTCAGGTTAGAGAACTCCTTGGGGTAGGATGCAGGACTGGAGGGTATTTCACAGCTTCCTAACATCTTATGCATATAAGAAGGCAAACACCAGGAGGTAGGAAAGTACTGAGAAGCAGTTAAATGTCCCCACATTGGTAGTTTGGATGAAGGGGCTTCCCCATGCAGTGAGAACAACCAGCTTTCAAAATTTTTCTCTCTCCCTCACTTTCAGATGCTGTCTCCCCACCTCCGAGGCGCAGGTCCGAGAGGATCGCAGGGTCTCCTACCAGGCGTGGTTCCCAGAGGAAACCTTTGGTGGAGAAGAAGATGGTGGGGAGCCCAGTGAGTAATAATGCATCCCTGTTAGTTCCCAAATCCAGCTGTGGGAGAGTTTGGAGTAGGTTATACCAGCCCCAAAAAGCTCGATTTCCCATCCTGGAGAACTCAACAGGCTTTTTGGTACAGGGCACAAGCCAGTTAACAATGGATTCCACTTTTAAGGGATCTGACCCCCTCCAATCCAGTGACCTAGATAAGGGACTTTGACTGCCCCGTCTTACACTTTGATGCTGTAATTATGAGACCTGCATATCTGAATTTCTTCAGCACAATTCCCAAGTGGTTTGTATGATCGTGATACACTTTTAACCTATTTATATGCCGTTTGAGCTGCTACCTTTCTGTTGGGCCTTTGGACATTATAGGTAACATCATTAAACCCTTTCTACCACCTCAAAAGGCCCCTCTCATGAGTTTTGCATTTTGTACTTTATTTACAGGGTCTAGCACCAGTATTAAATCCCCCACATGAAATGATTGATCACAGGTATTGTGATCAGATCATTCTTTCTGAGCAACCTGGCTTTTAAAAAGTGAGGCTTTGCTGCACTATCCCCATCATGGATTTTAAATCCTCCCCGAACCCCTGCACATATTCAGGGGTTCCCCCCTCTGCTTCAGTGCCACCCTCCCAGGAGTCTCTAATGAGATCCAGGAGACCTCTGGCCATTCTTCTATACAGGAGGTCAAATGGGCAAGCCCTATGGACTCTGGGGGCACCTCCTGATATGCAAACAGATAGAGTAACACCACATCCCTGTTTACTTACATTCCTAGCATGGATTTTAGGATCCAGTTGAACCTGTCAATTAATCCATTTGTTTCTGGGTGGTATTTTTCCCCACACATTCTTCATAAATCTCCAAATAGCTGGGACGTGGAATCTGATCCACTATTTGATGAGACCTCTTTTGGAAAGCCCACCTGCTGAATATGGAGAACTGTGCCTTAGCAACAGTTTCAGCTTCCACATTTGACAGAGCAACTGCTTCTGGATACCTGGTAACAAAATCCACCACCAATAATATACATTTTCCCCCTCTGAGTTGGTCTGGGTACAGGCCTTATGATGTTCATAGCAAGCCTGAAAAATGCTGCTTCAGTTGCCAGTAAAGGATGCAAAGGAGCCTGGCAGAGACAGAAGTCACAAGGCTTGCAGTATTCCTCTACTTCATTTTGAATATGGGGCTAATAGAAATTTTTCTTTAGCCTTTCATATGTCTCCTCCATTCCTAAGTGACCAGCGAAAGGGCAGTTTTGGGCTAAAAGCTTTAACTCCACACAATGCTTCGTGGGAATGATTATTTGTAGGGCTCCCTGGGACTTCTGTTTTCCCCAACCGAGGCTTCCCTTTAAATCCTTCCCTCTTCTGAAGGCCTCCTGCTGTGCTCTCTATCTGGGTCATTACTGAGGATGGCCTCCCTTATGCTCCCCCAGGAGATGTCTGCTGTTCGTTCTGCAGCAAACTCCATTTAGCTCTTGCTTGTACTGAGAGCTGTCTCAGGTAAGGGGGGGAGGACGACTCCTCATTTCCCTCCCCTTTAGACACATTGCTGTGTTCTGCTGGTTAGGTTGCCTCTCACACGCACACCCGTCCCCGCCCCCCACAGCATTTACCTCTGGGACCTTTGGGACACAATACTAATAGCCTTGGCCAGTGATATTCTGTCATTTCCCACCAATACATCAGCCAGTAAATTCTTAAAAACTCCTACGTTCAAAGTACCCCTTAAGCCTTCCCACTCTAATTCAATGGGAGCTAAAGACACCCTGGTTCTAAACTGCCCCAAGGCCAGGAGTTTTACCTCTTTCCCGGGAGCATATCCACCTCCTTAATGACATACCTCCTGAGTAGAGGAGGTATGTGATGATGTCTCTCCATCCCAAATGTCTCTCCTCCCCGGCACATTTGACCATTTACCTTGGCCTCCCTAATACACTCTTTATCTACCTCCAGGAGGTCAGACTGCACAAAATTTAACTAGAACCCCCTTTGGCATCACTGAAGGCCCTGAACTGAGGGTAGCTGCATTAACTTGGATAGATCAGGCATTGTATTTGGACTCCCCATTGTTTGTGCGTGTGTTCTAGGGACCCACATAAGAGAAAATACTTTGGACTGTTCCCTCAGGCTGGGATCTGATCATTAGGGTTACCAGAAGGGGTCCTGTACTGGAATTGCATGTGCTTCTTCCCCTCCCCTTCTTCCTTTTCCCTAGGAACAAACCAGGGTCTCCCTTTTACCCCAGGCTTTTGCCCTTCCTTTTGGGACTTGTGCTCTAGGAATGGTCTCGCTTGCAGGTATAAGTCAGCAGCACTGGCTGCCTCTTCCACAGTTGCTGGGGACATTTCCCACACCTCTGCCCTCACCTCATTAGAGCAGACACCAAAGAACTGCGCCTGAGCAAATAGATCTATCAACCGGTGATCATTTTCTCCCCTTTTACTTTTTATCTATTTTCTCCATTTCACCATATTTCCTGTTATCCAGTTGTTAGATTTCTACACTTTAGGTGATATATCTATGGGGTAATTTGAAACTTTTCTAACGCCGGCTCCTTAAACCAATTATACAACATAGCATTATTTCCATAATTAAACCAGTTGTTCTCAACCTATTTACCACTGTGAGCCACATATGCAGCTTTCAGTGTGTTATGCGGCCACATTCACACTATATACTCCCTGTATGGCCTCAGGATGTCACATGGGCAGCTGTGTGCTCATTGGGCCACAAGCAGCCCACTCGCTGCAGGTTGAGAATGACTGGATTAAATATTTATAAGGCTTTGCCAGTCAATTTGGGAGGTAAGATGGCCAAGTCTGTTCAGCAGGGATTATGTGCATCCTGCCTATCCTTTCAAAGGTGGCCATATTCTTCAGTGGACTCTCTCTCCCTGTAACTCAGGCAGTTTCACCCAGCTGGGTGATCCCAAGGAGGATTACTTGTGGGCTGAGAGTTCTGTTTTTTAAGCTTGTGGTGCCTTTCCTTCTCCCTTCCTTTAACTTCTGTGACCTGCTTTCGCTCCTCTGCTTTCCGCTTTTTGCTTTCTCTGCTGCTTCCCGTTTATGATCTCCCTCTTGGCCAGTTCTAACTGGAGGGCTGCCCCTCTGGGACCTGTGCCAGGCTGGTTTCCTAAGCCTGCACCTCCCACTCAACTTCAGGTAATTTCGATGGATGAATCAGTTCTCCATGATGCTTATCATATTGCATGAATAGAGATTTTTATCCCCTCTACTATTTTCCCTGTAGCTTCCAGGCTATGATCTGTGCACAGTTTTTTTCCAACTGTGGTTTGGTATGTTTGGCATGTCTCTGGCTTACTCATCCTGTCCTTTATGTTCTATTTCCCTTACCCATAATAAATCAATGGAAAACAACA